CAACTCATGGAGAGAATGCACAGTCTGATACACATTTGCAAACCTACCAATAAAATCCTATCGAAAATAAGATGTCAGAAAATCAATATAAGCACTCCTATGAACTGGGTGCCAAACTTTGATCAAGATCTGAAGCTAATAGAAAATCTGTTTGGTTCAAAGTTATCAAATCAAAAACAATACATAAAAAATACATAAACAGCAAAACGTTTAATCCACATTTTAAAAAGAAAATTGTTCTAAAATATATGTATTCTGTATTTGACAAACAGTTCATTCGGCAAATGAAAACTCACAGGAATATGTTTCAGCTATTAGAACAGAATGATAGAGTTTTTATAATACTGGTTTAAAAACGCACTTGCAGTGTTTGAAGATGTAGATTCTCAGGAGGCAACAGTACTGTTGACTTCTCCCTCCACTGGACACAAACTAACTATTTAAGTTGATTTGCATACAAAGCAGAGCTTGCAACATGATAGCTATTCATAAAGGGTGTTTTTTTTCTTTTCATATAATACAGTAGTCACACAATGAGGCAGTTCATATTTGTTTCAATGAATCATTAATTTTTGACAGACACCTGTACGAAATACTTGGACAAAAGGCAGCTAAGATTTTCTGTTATCTTGCATGTTTTATGAATCTATTCACGTCTAAATGCAGCACTTATTTTTTTGCGATGAGGCAATTGTTTTTATACTAAAATATCTTTACTTTGAATAAAGCTGGAAATTATGTCCCTTAAAATAATTAAACAAATAAGGCACCAATGTTTTTGTAAGATATTTACATCTTTTAAGGACATTCGGTAGACTGATTCCAAAACTTGTTTGTATTCAAAATTAATTATGACAATGCATATTTATATTGAAACAAACTATGATAAAGGGAATTATATTATATAACAAAGGGCAAGGTCACCAGAGTTCAACTATGTTTTTAGTAAAAAAAAAAGGTGGACCCCTCATCCCCCAATACCCTAAGTTGTTGCACAATTGGGCATTTTAATCTGTCTCTTTGTTCCTAACAAAAACATTTTACTTAAGTAGCTAAAAGAAATACCGATAAGTGAAAGTACCAGGATGTGTGACCTTTAGAGGTCATGAAAGTTACACTTAGATACTTGAGCAGCCAACAACAAAGCTACAATGTAATGTAAAATGCTTTAATTTCATGACAGACATAGTATTGTAAATTATTTTGAAACTGTTTATAGTACCAGTATACTAGTACATGTACATGTCAAATGCACTGTTAGCATGAGTATTTAATTAACATTTTTTTTTTCAGACAAATGAATTATTATACGATGTTTGGAAGAAATCAAATGTCGGGCAATGAACTTTTACAATGGAATCAAGCGTACTTAGATGGACTCAAAGTCATAGATCGTTCTCTTCAGCACAACCGCCCTACAACTCATTACCTACAGAATGCCAGCAGATCTGTAATGAATCTGCCATTGCATACCCCACAAAATACTATTAGAAGTTTATTTGGACCACAATTACATAGCAGTCCTGTATTAACTGCTCAAGCCTTGGCTAGAATTCAAGGAACTGGTACAAGTTCTAGCACAAGCCAAGGATTCAATATATCGCCTTCTGCAAGGAAGTTTAATAGTGTAAAGCATGCTGTTGAAAATACTGTACTATCACAACAGTCTACAAGTACTGTCAGTAGAAGCAAGAGGAAGTAAGTGCTGATATACTCCATTCTAAAGTACATAAGTGTTAATAGTGAAGATATGTGTGTTAATGTGAGAACACTGCAGATTACATGTATGTGTTTGAATAGGTGTCTCGGTGCCGGATAATTTGTGGTAAAAATGAATTTTCCAAAAAAAATTATGTGTTACTACTACATGTATAGCAGTCCTTGTGTTGACAGGGTTATGACTGTTGTGAGTAGATGAACAATGCACCTATACATACATACCATCTTTGCTCTTAAATCGGACCTGGAGTTGAAAACTAAATAAGGGTCAGCCCCCCGTCCCCTACCTGGGTGAATGTGCCTCAGACTCACTAATGAATGAGACTTTTGGGGGAACCTTGGTTAAGGTGCACATGTACTTGTGTTCGACCGGGCCTGGTTGATGGCATGATAGCGGTATAATGAATTGAAATGATGTCACTATGATAGGAAGATGGACACACAGCCATGTCTGGCACTCCAAAACTGGGATATGGTTTCTATGGTAAAATGCACTAATATCACTCATACTTGCAAGTTGGCACAAACATGTTATTGCCGTTAAAAAAAAAAATAAAAGCTTATGTAAACCAAAAACTGCATTAAATGCACGCTAACAAAATATAATTTATCAGTTATATGCTGCTTGTAATTGAGCAAGTAAGATATTATGGTACTCATGTACTATTTTGTACTTGTAGGAGAAGTTTGGATGAAGAGCCAGAGCAGGACCATGGTGAAAAGAAACAAAAAACACCTGGAGAAGATAGGAGGAGGCAACATGATAGTAATTTACTTTCGCAGGGAAAAAGAAAGAGTGATGCCCCAGTTGTTTCTCAAAACAGACGCTCTTTGCCAAATGGGCAAACTAAAATGAGCAGAACAGCTAGTTCTTATTCAGCAGTGCAAACACATTTTGATAGTCGAAGGAATTCCACAGGGGATATTGGTGTTGCATTCAACCATCTACAAACGCAGCAGATTCTTCTCGTCAGACCACTCAGATTAGACCAACCACCATCTTATATGGACAAGGTTAGTTGTATACACAATGAACATTGAACAGTACATGTATGTGGATATGAGCAGCTGAAAAATGAAAATCGATTTTGGTAGATACGAGGGGCGTTCAATAAGTAATGCCCCTGACCCATTTCCCATAGTAGGAAAACTTGGCACAGTTATTAGTCTTTCTCTACATAGGAACCACCCAGAGTTATGCATTTCTCCCATCGTTCGATGCAGCTCATAGACACCATTTTTGTAGAACACCCCAAGTTGGTCCTCCAACCATGTCATAACTTCAGAAATCAAGGCTGTATCATCTGGGAAACGCTTTCCTTTCAAAAACAACTTCATGGCTGGGAAGAGATGAAAGACAGAGGGTGCAAGGTCAGGATAGTAAGGGGGATGGGGGAGGATTTCATAGCCATTTTTCTTGCATTAAATGATTTTATGGTAACAATATTTTGATTTTAATGATCTAGTTTTCTCAGGAGATTTGGAATTTCTACCTTCAAAATCGACAGACACCAAGTGACCTTGCACAGAAGATAGAACTTAGAAACAAACTTTTCAGATGTGTGTCTATTGCTCTTCCAGGTGAGTAATGATCTGTGTGTCTGTTTTTCCATCCTCATTTCCCAAATATGGCTTGACTAATATTTATTCAAAGTTGGTATACATGCACACATCAATTCATTTTGAGATTCAATTACATTTGTTCGACTGAGAACGATTTTTGTTACCCAAAAGACAACAATCCAGCATGCTATCAACAGTTTGTCAGTCATATCTGGGCAAAATTCATTCAAACTTGGTATTGACACCATACATAATAGGTTCTTGGTCAATCATTTTCTTTTTCAAGTGTCTTCACTCATTCCTCAGATCTGTTTAAACAGTGGCAAGACGTACTCATTTGCATATACATTTACATAACATTCTTCTTGTCAAATGTCAATTCATGCAGTCCACAAATTACCAGTATGTCAAAGACTTGGCATTCATCACCAAATCTTCTCTTCCTACTCAACCGTCTCCTTGTACTTGTTTATTCTAGCTTATTCTTCTGGTTTACACATCACTGGTTCTACTTTAAATGGATTTGGTACCAAGCAAAGTGATTTAGATATGTGTCTTATGGTCTCTCTGCCACAGTCATCGGTAAATATTCATTCTATCACATTGTGTATAAAAATCAATTGTATCACTCAAGTTTAAGGTACCAAAAGTCTGTTTAATATTGTGTCCTTCATTTTAAGAATTTCAGTAAATAAGATCTTGTATTGACCTACATTGATAAAACATTGAGCTGTGTGACTGGCAGTTATTAAAAACATCCTGTTATATTGTTCTTGTTATCGTTCTTCAATTAGTAGATTGGGTATCATTTATTTAGTTTTATTCATGCTTGTAGTAATTCGTTTTACCTTATCATAAATCATACACTGTTTGGGATTTTTTTATTTTATTTTTATTAAATATGTATTAGTTTTGTTTTCATGTTAATTTTAATAATTATTTGCATGCAGTATTTAAAATATTTAAATACATATTTAAAACAAAAGGAAAAACAAAGCCCAAACTGGGATATTATTTTCATTTGATTGACATGATCAAATGATTAATTCTAGAAATCTCATCATCCCAACCTCATTGTAGTCATATGCTATTAAAATTAATAAAGATGTTGTTGTCTTCTCTTTATTTGTCAGCCTCCCAAAACACTTATACTTAGACTTCTTCACCGTATAATGAGACAAATTCAACAAGATATTCGTAAGTAAAAATAAACCGTCCAACTTGCGTGACTCATTCTTGCACTATGGTATTTGTTCTATTAGAATTGTACATGTATCACAAATAGGAACATAATTAAAACTAATTGTATACTTAACTGGTCAAGTCAATGTAAAAGTACATGGGGCTGGTAAGATAAGGGTTAAAATATGAATTTGGCCACACACACACATATCATTAATTTATATAAGTGTAAACAATTCAATGGGGCAATTACAGTGTATCCATATTGCATACATTTTTTTATTGTTCTCCTAAAACATTTTATTAATATGAATGAATTGTTACAGTATTATGTGTCTTTCCTTACTGTAAATTATCATTATATTTTTGCATTCAGCTTCCTGTAAAAGTTTATTAGTTATACGAGCCAGAGTGCCTATTCTGAGATTCACAGATACAAAAAGGTAGGAATAGCAATAGATGATTTTCCTTTCACTGCGAGATCTTGCTTAATGGGAGAGAGGTGAAGATTGTAGCTCAGTGTCAAAATGTCAATCTTTCACATGGGCATATGTCATTGAGATACCCTTTCATCATCAAATGTGTACAGCACATTATTATTTGTTGAATATTGTGTTTGTCAAATCCCATGTGTCACTACAATGCTATGACATTTGTTCGTCTTGTTTTTACATTTGATTTCATTTGTTACGTAGATCTCGCAGCGATCAGAAAATGACCTATTGGTTTGCTTAATTCCAGCACCAGTAATTCTATATGACTTTGAGTCAAATTATCATGAAATTTGTTTGTCGGCCCGGAATAATACTGTTCTCGCATTACTGTACATGCTCTCACAACTCTCTTAAATCATCACATGTTCACATGGGGCCTGAATACTTGTACTTCACTGTCACTGTCACCGACAATTTGCCAGTTTTTAGCTCTGAGTACATTCCTGTAGGTTGGCCTCCTTCCGCTGATCATTCGGCCCCACAGTCCTGAGAAGTCGCATAACCGAGGATTCGACACCCGCCTACAAATTTATGGTGGAGAACCATTCTGCAGTTTTCATAATTGTAACCAGCTAAAACATCTATCGACCAATCTAGCGATCATCAAATACTTTTTTTGTGGTCGAAAAATGAACCTACAGTACTGGAACGTTTGGCGAAAGCTAGTTTT